GGGGGGGGGGGGGGGGCATCGAAAAGGAATAGATTATACAGTCAACACCGTTTTTAACTAATCGGGAACCCCTTCGCCTTGATACGGTTTCCATAAATAGGAGAGCGCAGGGATCCATGTCAGCCAATCACAGAAGAAGAAGAAGGGAAGGGGCAAGAAGAGAAAGTCGGTGACAGTGGAAGTGTTAGTGGCTTAAACCACCAGTACCCCACCGACCTATCCACGGGGCCGCACCTTTTGAATTCCCTCCATTCCATTCTCGTGATCCACGGTTTTAGTCGAGCTCAGATCTCCTGCCATTGTTCTCTTGACTGTTCACCCAGTTTGACCTTTCCAGGCAGGTCTCTTAACAACAGCAATCCTTTCTTTCGGCCAGTGTTCTTTAACATCAGTAAATTCCTCATTGACTGTGACTACGGCCTTGTTACCTTCCATAACTACATCCAAAGAGGAAGACCCTGCCTCCATGGACTCCTGCTGCCCTCAACACATGCCAGAAGGAAATCAGACAGGGACGGGTCACATACGAGTCGCCAACAGATCACCTTAAAGGCAGCGTCTGGAGGTCGATGCTCACCCAGCACCCCAGAAGGAAAGCATCTCTAATCAAATTGATGCCAGGAGGTAAGTGAATCCTCTATCTGCACCAGAGAGGCAACAGCAAACCGGCAAAACCAACGAATAATGAGGGCGCGGGACTAACTTGCTTAAACCACCCACACTTTTCACAGCAAATTTCTGAGACGTCGCCATGCACGGGCCGCATCCTTCGGGATGTACCGGCCTGCCACGTGGCAGAGAATACATCCAGGCAAAACTGTCACATGCACAGCCCAGTTTTGCCTGGATGATAAAGTGGTGCTTGACAGGGCGGTACATCCCTAAGGATAAGGCGTGTGGCATGCCGTGTTGGAGAAATTTGGCTGGGAGAAGTACTGGTGGTTTAGCCAACGACGAGCAAGTACAGGAGCGTAAATAAACCTCCCACAGGGAGGTGTACCTTTGGAAGCTAGAAGCAACAACATTGACTCATGCCAATGGAGCCGTAGCCACTCACTGAAGTGCACAGGAAAATGAAGAAACCCCCATAAATGTCCACCATAACTTCGATGATCCGAGTTCAAGGCTTCAAGCAGAATACAGCAACAAAAAAGTGCAACACCAACAAGTCTACGAGGTGACGAAATGCTCGCCCACAATAACTAAAATTTCAGCAAACCATTGCTGTAATTAAAAGATTAACAGCGCTCGTACATCATAGCAACACAGAGGATTGCCTGTAGCTGAAGCACCTTATCACCACGCCCGAGGAATGCATCGAAAATTCCGTTGACAAGACTGGTGGAGCAGATGCATGGGTACCAAGCGCATACTAACTGTTGCTCATAATCAATACTGGAGCTGGCAGGTAGCTATGGCCACCAGGCACTGGAGTGTGAGTGTTACCACGCTGCTTCGGAGTTATCAAGATGAAGGTCCGGTGCCATGACGAATAACACTACATGTTCAGCGGGTTGGGTGGAACAAAAACTCGTCCAGCCAGCAACACTATGTGCGTACACAAAAGGGGCTGCCAGACACACCCCTGACCAATCATACAGGGCTTAGAAGTCACCGTAGGCTGGGGTCAGAGTCTCCTGTCTCCTTCATTGACTGGCTGGGGGGTGCTGAAGGGAGAAGCTTGGGAGAAGTGAAATGGCCAGGAGGTGAAGTGCAGGAGGAACCTCTAAAGCGAGACTTCCACCTAAACTTCAGGGATTGGTTTTCTCTTCAACCAGGAGTCACACTCAGATCCCCAGATTGTTTTCTTGATCCCTTCCCTCCCTCAGAATTGGCAATGGTTGAGGTTCAATGAGATGCTTTGGGAAAAGACTACGTTCGTTCTCTCCAGGGTGTACGTTTTGGGTTAGGGAAGGAGAGAGAAAGAGGAATTAGCAAGAAATAGCAGAATCTGGCGCCTAGATCAAGGTGAAGAGATTCCCCTTTCGCAATCGTCATTTATTATTTCTAAACTGGTTCAAATTTATTTCATGTAAGGGACGCTGGACCTGCTTTCCAGCAGGTGATGCTCCCCACCAATAGATTTATAAATAAAAAAAAAAAAAAAAGTCTCCTGTCTCCACTGCTTTGAAGCCACTTATGTATTCTGAGACAGCTCGCTATGGTTCAGTTAATCCCATCCCTTATTGTCACCAGAGTACATGGGCAGTAAGCTGGTTGGGTTGCAGGGTTGCGGGAGTGTCGTTTTTTATCAAGGGACCATAGCAAGCTCCATCTCCCAGCTATAGGCAGATTGTAGGCAGTAGTGTTCCAATTGTCGTTGCCACCTTTGGGTCGCAGAGCTGGGTTGGTCCCCGATTGCAGCAATACACGGTAATCCCAGTAATTCTCTACCAGGCAGACAATGAGGACCCTGGCCTCTCTGTTTATAGGGAATGAAAATTTGCTTCTTTTTATAGATTAAAAAAAAGAAAAGCCTGCCATTTTTGCATCTGCCTGTCAGGAGAGCGATTGAACCCACTAGAGAGCGACTCTTTCTCTCAAAAATGGAAAAACAATCTAAGGATTCTAAGCATCATTATAATAGCATCGTCCGTCCTCTGTTTCCCTTTTTTTTTCTCTCTTTTCTTCTCTCAATTTCACCTTTCACCTCTCACTACCCACCACTGTTTCCTTTTTGACCCTCCACCGTTACACCTTCAAGCCGATCTACTCAATTCCATTGCTGTTCTCCTTGCTGGACGATGTTTTCCTTTTTTTAATACAAAAAGAGGAGGGTGAAATCAGACTTGACTTCAACTTGACTTTTGACATGCGTACATGTAGGTGCGAATGGCAAAACAACTTTCTCAAAGTAGAATTAGCAACAAGAGCGAGATGGTGCACTACGCCCACACAGAAAAACTCAGAGATATGGCCCTTGGCCAGAAACTCGGCTCAAGTCAACTTGTCACACCTTGTGGCTATGGCGTCCGAACGCCAGTCACGACTTCCCACCCGAACACCGTTTCCACCATCCGACACACTCACACTTACTCACACACAAAGTACACAAGCACTAGGATATACCCTGAATGTCTACGCACATCACACACACGCACTACTGTTGTCGTCAACAAGGCTGGCGGCTATGGCCGCCGTCGTCTTCCTCCCCCTCTAGCGGCTATGGCTGCTGCTGTCTTCCTCTTTTAGCCCACTGCGTCACTGGGCTCCTGCAGACCTCTGACGCAGTTTCGGCGATGTCTTTTAATCACCATGATGGTAATCTCAATGCTGTTGGTGGGTCGTGTGTAAGGTGGTTCCTAGCAGCATACAGGGAGATGAAGTGGGTGGGGCAAGTGAGCGGAGGTGAGGGGTGTGCATAGGAGAGAGGCGGTTATGACGGAGCTGAGGAAGGTGAGATTCGTGAATCTGGGGTGTGAGTGTTAGTAGCTAGGTGGACAGGGAGGGTCTTGAGGGAGGGTATTGGGGTTAAAGCCTAGGCGATTTGCCGAGGGGGGCTGCAAGGGGAGGGGCGGTCCAGCCTATATCAAAGGCTAGATAAGGGGTACAGGGGTGAGGGTGTGAGGGGGCTGGGGGAGGGATGGGAAGGAGAAGACGGGGGGTGATGGTTGGGGGAGGGAGGAGGGAGAGAGGGTACTTCAGAGTGGGCGGTAACGGCTCATGGAGGTGGGATCTTGAGCTGGTCTCACCATTAGATCCAGGTCGTGCAGCTTTCCATTGAGCTACTGACACTGGCTGAGCTACACACTGGCGTGCCGATTGGCGTTTGCATTGAGTGCCTATGTATCTACTCGAACATCACTGGATGTCGAGAGCGATCCTCTCCGAGCCCCTCTTCGTGGTCATGGCCAGACTTTTTTCATCTCGTGGTTGTACATGGCTTTCCATTATTTCGGTCTGGCTGCAGCTCTTTCACCTTCCTGGTGGCTTCTTCGACTGCATACAGCTTGAAGCCCGCTGGCAGGGCTCCCAGAAACAGCGGCTATGCTTTGAGGTCATGGCCGGGCTGTTTTTGTCTCGTGGCTGTATGTGGCTTTCCATGATTTCGGCCTGGCTGCAGCTCTCTCACCTTCCTGGCGCTTCTTTGACTGCATACAGCTTGAGGCCAGATGGCAGGGTGGCTACTCTTCGACAGGTCGGTCAGCTTCGATGGGCGGGCGGTTGCACTTCGATTAGCGGCCGTCTTTATGGCCGGATGGCTTTTCCTCACCGGGCGGCTGGATCCTCCTTCCTGGGGCGTGTGCTGGCCCAGGCGGCCAGACTTCCACGGACGGTTTGTTTTGTTAGGTTCGAGCACACACTGGGCGCACGTGCTGGCAGCGGTGGCTTTAGATGGAGTGATACCGTGGCGGGGTATCACTCCCGCTTTCTGAGAGTGGACGTGGCGCAGATGGGCGGGAAAGTCAGCGATGTTGAGGGTCATTGCGACCCTCGAGATGAGATGGGGGTGTTGTCTCTGGTGTCGACTGGCACACGTGGCAACATGGAGGGAGAAGGTGTGTGGTGACTATGGCAAGCACGTTTCGAATTCGAACGCGACGGGCTGGCTGGTGCGGGCACGAGTGTGTGAGCATTAACGCTATTTGCTGAGTTCGCAAAAAAAAAAAAAAAAGAAACAACGGCGGACGCGGCATGTTTTGAGTTCCTAAAGGCACGAAAAACAGGCCCTCGGCGACTGTGTGGCCTGAGTTCGAAAAGGCGTTCGTAACTCAGGCCGGCAGTGGTGTCAGAGCAGAGGTTTCATTAAGGCGGTTGTGTCTTTTTTTTTTCGGTCGGTCGCGCCGC